AGTGCAACTGAACTTCTACATCTGGTTTCCGATAAAAGAAAGCACAAACTATACAAAGCTCTAAGAGATGGAAGATCATAGCTGTTCTCAATACTAATCCCGTATCTCCTCAGATGACAGTTTTGGCATGATCACATACTGCAGATAAGAAAATATCCGTCTCAACAAAGAATCATCTGCTGCTCCGAAGCAGAGAGAGTTATAATAGAGGTTGTGGGAGTGCACAAATACAGCAGTAACAGCACAATAACAGCTGGACTTACCACACCAGCCTCCGGATTTCTCTTCCTCCCATTACTAAAGGTGGAGGCTAAGGTTGAAGAGCAGCTTTCATCATACAGAGCTGTTCGTCCATCATTTATAGCAGAATTTATGGAGATTGTCCACATGCTCGATGCATACCCATCACAGTTACAGTCATCATAGCTGCCCCCATCTCCAGAGGCCCAGACATAGATGCTTCCTTTGCCACCCCGGCCCTGGGAAAGGGGAAAATCAACCTCTCATGTTAAATTGCAAATAGGCGCAAAAGGCAGCTACTATAAAATGCACATCTAATTGCAAAGCTAGGCATCTATAAAGGAGAACACTAGTTCAAACAAAATATACATCAAACTTAAGCTGAAATAACGTGGACTTACGCAGGTTACTAAATCCGGTTAGCTGGCAGCTACAGCTGGTTCTGCAACATTATGTACACACAGCACTTCCATTTATCTCCTGTTTTGCAATGTAAGGTCCAATTAGATTCACACAATGGTTAACAAAATCTGTAAAACTTGTACCTTTTCCTTTCAATAGATTTCTCTCCTAAGGTATCACCAACTCAGAGCTGTTCTTCTGACAAACCAGTTTCTACTACTAAGGAGAAAACAAAGTTATGAGACCATATAAATCATCTACAGAAAGATGGTCTACTAATTACAGTGAGAAGGCAAGAGATGGATGGGAAGGAGTGAAGCTGAAGGATAGCTATAAAGGCTTCCCATTAGTTAAAGAAATCCATATCCTCTTCCTCACTTCCAGATAGGCAAGGAATGGGAAGGGATCAACTCAGCTCCTTCTTCTTATCACATACTAAGAAAGAAGTAGGGGGTGCCTGGAAGAGGGTTAGACCTGAGAACCCTGACACTTGGGGAAAGATCAGTGCTACTGATCTTTCCAAATCCAAAGTTCAGATCTCCCACTGATTTCAGCACCGCCACCATTTCTCTCTGTGTTAAGACTAATGTAATCCAACAGTATCAGAAGGGCCCAAGGCCTCAATTTAACATACTGTTTATATGCACTAGGCAGAAGGTAAGAAAAAAATCTCATCTCTTCATTGTCCAGCATCAAAATGGAAGTTAAAGAATATACAAACATAGCAACCTGCAATAGTATTTTAATAGGGGCCTTTTCTGCCAGGAATTTAAATAAAATCTCAGCTTCCAGCAGTAGCTTCTATTTTTCATCATACCCCGCTGAACAGAGCAACCTCACTATTTCAAGCACGTTACTGAGTTGCATTATAATCCACTGAATTTCATAGCAGCTTTGCTGCCACTGGGGTACATAACATCTCAGGGCACAGATTTTCATAATAAAGATGATGACTATGAAAAAGCTTATTAAAATCAGTCTAAAAAGTCCCACAAAGATCTGAGATCAATCATTTGAGTTTTAAAGGAGGAGGGTACTGTTGCAAAAATATATACTTTAAGAACAAAATAATTCCAGAAAATTGTTTTTTAAAAATTTAAAAGATCAGCATAACAAGAACAGTTATGTCTTTTTTCCTTTTGATCTTTTCTATATCCCACTTTGTGCTCTGACTGCCATTAGCCTACAGGGCTCAACTCTGGGCTTTGGATTCACTTCAGAGACTACAACCCAAGCTTGCCACCACGCCCACACACACCATCACACCACCTTGCCACTATCTGTCTCCTTTGGACAGCCTCGGTGGCAGTTCCAGTAAATCTCTGTCTGTCCCAAAAAGACAGGCTGGTGCCAGGAATAAGACGATTGGCATGTACAGACCTGTTTTTAAACAACCCTTTCCTTCCAGTCATTTTAAAGGAAGACTAAACTCTCCCCTAGCTGCATTTCACCACATGGGCAGGATTTGTGGCAGAATGGCAGAAAACAAGTATAACATTGCAGGTGGGGAGCAGGGGGAATCCATGGAGGAATCAAAATTTGGGCTTGAGTTTGTGGGTGGAGTTAGCCTGCTGGGGACAACTTTTCTGCATGTAATTACTGTAACGTGAGAATGATCACAGAATATCACTTCTATGAAAGTTACATACACAAGTGTGGCTTAGCATTAAAAACTGTAATTCACCTCTTAATACTCTAATTTCAATTGTCTTTCCCTTTTAGGCAGCACTGGAAAGAGGAGCAAACACTACTGGAATAAATGGATAGCAGCTCAAGTGCATTACTTGCTTAGGACATTTCCCACAGACAGACCTACAGTAGTTGGATAGTTTGCACAGGAAAACTGTTTGATGGCTGTCCTCAGGCATAGTTTCATTTACCAGACAGAAACATACAGCTTCAGGGGAAGTGAATTTTCAACTCCCTGGATGGTAGCAATCTAAACCAGAAAAATCCCATTTGGGTCAACCGTGTCGTATTTAAAGCGAACTGAAAGCTCCTATTTTAATCTGAACCTTATATAAACCTAAAATATTTCAGTGGTGTCACTCAGCTTAGGCTGCTGTAAATTTAGGACAAAAACAAGACTGGAGAAGGTGTAGTAATACATACTACAAACACCAGATGGAGCCTGAAGGAAGATTCAGGAAGAAGAGAGAAGACTAGAACAATAAGATCCATTTTAAAGAGTATCTCTCCTCTAGAATCCTGTTGAAAGCTGCTCATCACCCCCAAAGTGACGCACAGTGTGGCAGCCACACTTCTGAGCCATCTGAAGCTGTACCTCACTCAGAGATGAAATGGATCTTTGTGCATTTAGTACAAGCCCTACAGAGGCACATCTCTCAACTCAGGCTTAACCAGAATTAAAACTTGGGCAAGACTTTATGCTTAGATAGTCACAGAGAGCTACTGAGAAGCTCTCGTTGTATAAAGAGCAGGTTTTCTATTTCCAATGTTCTTCGTGGTAAGCTGTGTTACCAGCAAAAAATAACCTTGAGAAATTTTCCTACCCCTTTTCTCATTTTCTGAAGAGCATAATCCCAGAAAAACTTCTTTACTGAACTACCTTGCAAAAGCAAGTTGGCAAGTGTCTGCAGCCTAATTTGCTTTATGTAACTTGTGCACCTTGTACTGGCTTTTTTTTCTCTTGTTATTGTGTTCATTCATCATGCTTGCTGGGCTCGTGCCTAAACCACTGTTTCTTGAAGTTTTGATTGCTGGATCACACTATCCAGACAAAAATGGGTGGAATTTGACAAATAAATCTCCTCCAGCTTCCCTGACCTTTCCCATTAAAGCTGGCAAGTGCTTGTGTGAATAACAGATGGGCCTTTAAGATGGCACAACCTCTGCCTTGGCTCCTCTACTTCACCCACTCCTGCCTGGTCATCAGGATTGCTAAAGATTGATGGAAGGAAAATGAAAGACTTTATAGCACATTTCTGATGCCCTTCAGTTTTGGCCTAATCCGTCAGTCATAGATCAGGACTAACAGTTTCCAAACAGTAAGAACAAAGAACAGACTCCTGTCCTAAAAAGCCAAGTACCAGGGAATGACAGCATCAGGACACCAGCTGGCAGATAGGCTCAGGATAAGAAGAAAAAAAAAGCAGCACCTGACTGTAAGAAGGTATTTTTTTTAGGCAGATTAAAAAGGTATTTCAGGATAAGGACAGCCAAATAGTTTGCTGATGTTTATGGACTGTCTCATGTCTAAGGAAGAAAATGCAGATGGAGCACATCTGAAAAAAAATATGAAAAATTACAGAATGGGAATTGCTTTCTGTAACAAATTCAAAGAACATTATTTTATAAGCACCTTTCTTTTTGTATGACATATGATAGCTATTTTGAAATCCTTCCCCTTAAGAAAACAGAAGTGTTTCAGCACCATCTATATAATTTAATAGCAATTTATGTTCCTACTATGGTAAGAGACAGGAAAAGTGAAAAACTCTATAGCTTTTTCAAGTCTTTGCCATGGGCTCTACTGACTTAAGAACAGGATTCAGTTTCCATCCCCTATTAATTTCAACTGCACTGTCCTCTCAAAAGAGCATTTCTTTCTCTTCAGGACTGAACTATTTGAAAATCCTTAGATGTGTTGTAAATAAAATCTGCATTCTTCAGTAATGACTGCTAATTATCTTAGAAAGTGTACTTTGCAGCCAAGGGTATAGTGTGCCCAGAATACATTGCTCTGCCTGGAGGTGCTTTGCAATGCTGGCTCTGCAGGCAACATGAAATCACCATCATGCCTCCAGGCTGGAGCACACCAAGACAAGGACAAGCTGTGGGACCATTTGCCCACTGTCATGACTTGGCAGGGAGCATCAGGCTGAACTCTCTGGAGATCTAGGAGCTTACACAGAGACCTTGCTCTGCCTTGGTCTCCCCACCACTCCTGTGCGCGAGCAGTACATGGGCTGGAGGCAGTGAGTCCTTGGCATTGCTGAACTGCTGCTCATCTTACACACTGCCAGGGTTTTCTGGAGCTTGCCTGCCTGCTCCAGCACCCATGGTGCCAGCTGGACAGCTCATTGAGCCCTCACTCTCCTGGCTCCTCCAGCTACCTCTGCATCTACCAGGCTGATTTGACTAGAGCAGTCTGTTAGCCTGTGACTTCCTGGATCTTTTGCTCCTTTCCTATACTGATTTTTTGGGGAGTGATAAAATATAAAGCAAAATCTAGGCAGAAACACACCTAATCTAATCACATCTAAGCCAAGTAAACTCAATTCAATCATACA